AATCCTTTCTATCTTCCCACGCGATAAACAAGGTTACTTTCTTTTTTCTTCCTCAAAGAATCTCTACCATCACCACGAATTCGATCGTGGTCCTTCTCATTCGCGAGATCAACACGGTTTAAAAAAATCGTGTAGGCGACATTCAGAGCGAGAAGAACGAAAAGTAAGATGGGATTTTCAACAAGTCGAATCATTTCAACGAAACGAGTTTATTTTAACCTTTCGTGCAGGCACATGTGCATTAAAGGATTAAATGACTATCCGTTGATCACCGCTCCGATTGAATGCAAGGGTATCTAGTATCTGGTTTGTGGTACTAATTTAACGTTACACCGTTCTTAACAACATGTATACATTTGCATACGGAATTCCTGGTGGAAATTCTACCCTCGAGTCATTAAAATTAATTTTTAATTCGTCTGTTTGTTTCTAACGACAAATTTTTTATCAAGTTCCATCATCTTCGCATCTCTGACATTCTCTGGATAATTTCTCGAGTTTAATTAATCGAACAGAATCGGCGAGACACGCGAGGTTGGAATTTAATTTTTTGGTTACGAAGAAAAGGAATAATACATGAATGGAGGCATTCCTCGACGTTTCCTCGCGCTCCTTTTTCGACCAGATTATTCCTCGAGTTACCAAGTTAATGAAGCTTCCAAGCAGCTCGTACCTTCCTCTCTACTCTCCTATAATCCGTCACTTGGGAAATACTGATCGCCATCGAACGAGAAAGGGACAAAAAAAAAGGAAATCAAAGAGAGAGAGGCTTAGAGATTTTTTTTTGCGACGAAGGAAACTGGTAGCCATCGGACGAATAATCGTCTCTCTCGCTTTGGCGAGCGTAATCAAGGCAAATTTTAATTATTCACGCTCACCATTTAAAATATTTGTTTATCCTCGTCGTGTTAAGCTTAGCGTAAAGTCGGTAATTAGTCGACGACACTTTTAAGATTCTAAAGATATTACAGTCGGATAATCAAGGTAATTAAACCGAATAACATGTTTTTCCTCCGTTTTTCTTTATTCATCAAATCAAAGAATCCCTTTCGATTCGTTTGGCTTCGATCTTCTTCGCCCTGATTCGATCCATCCTTCCGAATTTCCATCGATTTTGTCAATTTCAATGTTTGATCTGTGGCTCATGATGGTACAATTTTCATTCTTGATATTTTAATTAAATTGATAATAAGATACCTCGATGATAAGATAGCGTATATTCGTGACGTTAAATCCTTAACGGGTAAGAATTATTTAGTTATCGAAGTTTGCTTCGAGCTTTCATTTCTATCTATTTCTATCTTCTACGTGTTTCTTTTACACGATGGTGGATGATACTCGAAACTCGAGTGGCTCGAAGCGATTTCGTCGAAGGAATCTTCAAACGTCGAAAGTTTCGTTGGAAGAAAGTATTACGAATCGTTTGCAAATCCCTGATGAACGGTAACAACAGCTTTCACGTTCATTTCAAGATTAATCGGTAAAGTTAAAGGTTGGATTAAGAGGGAAACCCTTCTTAAACAGATTTATCCGCACGTTATTTACAGGGACGATGATTTCTTGCTTCTATTTTATTCCCAATGGATGCAAATTTTCGCAAATTTTTTCCTATATCTATTAAAAAAGCATTTCGTTCGTCAAAGAAATTCTTCGAAATTTCGAAACGTCAAAGTTTAAGATATCTGCAAAATCTCTAAAACTAGAGAATTTTTTCTTTTTTGCCACAGATACTTGATAAAAAAAAGTGTGGAAATAATATTGGAAAGTTCAAAGGGTTTTTTTTTTTTTATCTTGATAAATCGTTTGTACTCGAACAAAATTGTCCGAATGAGAAAATTGCGATAATAAAGCTTCTCTTAACAACCATCGATTGGTGTACGAATTATGAATTGTATCCGTAAATAGTTGTGTCTCGCATAAATGCACTAAATTGCGAATTATCGAAAATGCAGGTACCTCAGCGTTTCAAGCATGGAGCATCTTAATTAGACAAAGTGAAGCTTCGCTTCAATTGTTTCATTATAGACTCGTTTGACACTCCTGTTTGACTTCCTATACAATATCGAGAGAGTGCATTATGCATTCCGCATGTATGCACGAAATACTCATC